CTTTTTTATCGTATATATATATACATTTCGTTTAGGTCCGGGAAACTCAAAGATTCTGGATGTCATTTTGTACATCAATTGTGTCGTCAAGGGTAATTTCAATTTCTCAATTTCTTAAGTTAGCCGTTGGACTGGAAAGCAACCTCTCAGGAAGAGAGCTCAAGATGAGTCATTATAATCATAGTGGCAGTTTTCAAAATATATCCAGTTGCTTTATTAGTTTTATCTTATATCTTATATATAATTAACTAAATCATGTATCATTCATCCACACATCTTATCATCGACTGGTCCTAGTGTAGGTGAGAGACCAGAATCATCTTAAAATTATTTTAGGGTTCTAAGTGCGATACTAAATCCGTGTGACACAGTGTCCTTTTCATAGTTACGGAACTCTTTAAACATACTGACCGATTGGCCAGGTGGATGTATCCTAATCGTATAGCGAGGGAAGTCGTGTTTCTAGTGTCTTTCCCATGGGCAACGCATCGGGTATTTTAGGGAATCGAACCCAGGACCTTTGGGAGAAGGAATGTTTTCTTTATAATCATACTAGCTTAAGATGCAGGTCAACTATTTCAAGACATACATGTACCGTTACTGTCATATTCTTCATGCCTCAACAATTGTTTGGTGTTAATATTCTTTGCCATTGTTCAGATATCGATGAGTGTGCTGACGACAGCACAAACGAGTGTGACTACGGCTGCGTCAATGAAGAGGGTTCATTCTACTGTACCTGTCCGGAGGGCTACCAGATAGATCAACTGGATAGGAAGACATGTAGACGTGAGTGTGACCCTTCAATTAGCTACATGTTGTTGTTTTGGGTATTTCGGTGTAATGCTAACCACACATTTGCAAATTTACTTAGACATACACTGATAATTTACAGACTCACTCACTCACTCACTCACTCACTCACTCACTCACTCACTCACGCACTTACACATATATTCACAAATCTAATCAGTGACACACACACACATAGACTCACGTAAACGCACATACATACATACACACACACACACACACACACACACACACACACACACACACTGATCACTCACACTTTGAACCACTAATTACACACAATTACTCACACACTGATCACTCACACACGAATTCACTCTCACGCAGTCACGTATCACTCACGCAGCTAACCTAACACTTGGCGCACCTCTTGACGCTCTGTTTTTACATTCTTTCTTTCAGCAATCAACTGTACCGGGTTATTCCATCCTACACACGGCAGGGTGACTGCTGTGGGCAGTAACACGGACTGTACTACCCGGGACGTGGTGAGGGGGACCAGGTGCCGGTACACCTGCACGGACGGGTATGAACCAGTAGATCCCGACTACCGTGGGGTCGTGGGAGGGGACATCGTCAGGGAATGTAGGACCACCGGGTCATGGTCAGAGGAACGGATAGAATGCTCACGTAAGTACAATGCGATTTGTATTGTCCGCCAGACAAGAAAATTACTGAATGTGCTGCACCCCTCCAGTCATCTACCGTCGACAAAATGCTTTATCTTAGCGTCGCAGTTTTACCTACGTAACGTTCCACAGACCAAAGTCGTTAATGTTTGCCTCTCTTATCTATATCTATTTATCTACATACCCATCTATCTAGTATCCATCTAATCTATCTACCTTTCTATCTAACAGTATTTATTTAATATATATATATATATATATATATAGAGAGAGAGAGAGAGAGATAGATAGATAGATAGATAGATAGATAGATAGATAGATAGATAGAGAGCGAGAGAGAGAGAGAGAGAAAGACAGACAGACGAATTGATAGATGGAAAGATAGACGGACATTTTTTTCTGAATAACCCTAATCCTTATACTTGTTAACTTATTTAAAAACAACACACATTGTTTTTAAGCGATGGAATGCCCACTGCTGACGTTGCCAGACCATGGCCTGGTCCATCCCCGCAGCTGCCGGGAGCAGGCACAGTTTGGGCAGCAGTGCACCGTGTCCTGTGGGACAAACTACCGGCTGAGGGGAGAGGCAGTCACCACCTGTACCAATGTCGGCTCCACTGGTAATATTATCATAGACTGGAGCAACAAGGAATGGACTTGTGTCCAAGGTACTTTTTCCCAATGGCTACACTAATACCAATTTAATGTAACAGGTGATATTCGAGCGCGTATTGATTTTTTCCAGTTCTAAAAAAATCACCTTCTCCAAAACTCAAGCCTCGGTGCCGTCTTTCGTAGTCCATGGTAGTTAGTGACAATAGGGAGTCAGCGGTAACTACGGAGGACGGCACCCAGGCTGCCGAGGCTCCACTGAACTCCAGAACTAATATATGTCACAAAAGTCCAACATGTGCCGGCTTGTCGTAAAAGCTGTTATGTACTAAAAGAAATTTGCAATACCAGCTTTCTCTCCCCGTTTTGTTGCATATTTTGCCTTTAAGATACCAATTTTCACCGAAATTTGGTGATGTTTAGATTTGGCCACATGGTGCTTAATTCGTTTTGATGACATGTACGGGCCAAGAAAATTTATCCATAAAAGTTTCTTGGTACATGGACCATTTAAAATGAGTTATGTTTTGGTAACTAAAGATGCTGTGTATCCTATTAATTATGGACTTCAAGACACATACAAGACTGAGTGATGATAAATGACTTATTATAGGTACCACAAATATCTTGTCTTCAGACTTTTCAGAACCATACGTCACCTGTCCTCGTGACGTCAACACTGAGCTTGGGCCAGGGGAGAGTCACGTGGTTGTTAACCTGACGTCACCGCAGTCCAACTACGAGACCACCATAGACGGCGACTATGTCCTCGGTAAAAACACCTTTACCATCGGGGAGACCAATGTGGTCTTTACCGCTCACGGGCACAACGGCGAGACGGCTTCATGCACTTTGAGGGTCCGCGTTTATGGTAAGTAATTAAACTTTACATACACACGATATAAAATTATAACTGCATTCACACATTACTAAAACAAAACAATAAAATAGAAGATTTTATACCACCGCGAGATGTTAACAGTTTTGTTCAATTTTTGGCTTGAAGTTTTGTGTGTACCTCTACATGCATTTTCCACGTGTACTGCCATTTGGCTTTGATTTCGCTTTCTGGTACCTAACGTTCTGTGTCTGACATACATATACATGTACACACACACACACACACACGCACACACACACACACGGTGCCTGACGAATGTACTTAAACGGACTTTTTTGTATCTCGACTATAACAGACAGTGAGCGGCCTACTGTCAAGTTCTGCCCCGCGTCTCAAGTCATAGAAACTGCGAGTAGTGATCCAGTCAGCGTTACATGGGACGACCCGCAGTTTGTAGACAACGTTGGGATAAAAAGTACCACACACGACGTGAAACCAAACAAGTAATCTTAATTACTTAAAAGCCTCATCAACTTTCCCCATAAATTTAGTTACTTGAAAATAATATATGAAATGTCACTTATTTATGGATAAATGCGCGATGATGCACTCATATGCCAGTCTCTGCCTACGCAAAATGGGTTAAGTGGGACATCTGAAATTTTCTGTGAATGTCAGAAAACGTTAAGGCTTTCGAAATGCTTTGGTGACATGCTTTTGATACTTGCTAGTATTTACTGTATATTTTCTGTATGTCAGAGGGTGAGAAGATTGGGTCAGATCGCACAAGCTATACTCTTATCAAAAGAAATTGTATCAGGCCTTGCATTATTTCTTGATTGCCTTTAATTAATTGTTTTCTTGACACTTTTCAGGCCTTTCACATGGGGATTCTACTACGTTAAATACACCGCTGAGGACGAGCATGGTAATTTTGCTGAGTGTACCTTCACTATCCACGTCAAGAGTAAGTATTATTAACGACACTTCCAACTACAATGTAGCTTCCTATTTACGCATCTTAAAGCTATTCAGAGTCACCAAACTTGGAATGGTTTTCGATTAGATCAATGAAACCTATTTCAAAGGTAAAAATGAGCAGGCATCTTCTGTTAGGGACGTCCTCTCGCATACATGTAGGACATAAACCGGAGGTCTAGTGTTCAAAGGAATGTTCTAATTTTTACAACGGTGACACTAATAGTAATGTTCGACTACGAAGGACTATCAAGAAGTTTCATTGCGTCACTCAGTGGCAATTAGAAAGACCGTCTAAAAATCACAGGCTGTCAAAAACTTACTGGAAGTACTACCTTCCTGGCCGGAAAAATAATTACCATGCAATTCATGCTAATCCATGCAAAAGAACAATGGTATGTACTTTTACAGTAAAATGTATATGGAGCACTGCATAGCTGGCTAGGTCAGACAGGTATCTTGGTTAAAAAAACACGGCTTGAAATATAAGAATTTTATGTTTCTAATGAACACTAAATCTTCTATACATGTATACAATGCATCATATGGCACATGTAATCTCTCTACAGAAAAGGAGTGCGAAGAGCTTGTGCCTCCGAAGAACGGCGATCTCAGCTGCGATAATTGGGCTCATGGAAAGTTTTGCCAGCTAAGCTGTGACTCGGGCTTTCAACCGTTCGAAGAAGATGCTGCCGATGTGTATACATATGCGTGCGGCCAGGACGGCGAATGGAAACCGACATCGAAGGTCCCAGACTGTGTCGGTGAGATGAATTTTGTCATATAACAATGTAAACATCCACTTCAAAATATAAGCAAGTAAAATCTTAGAGTTTATACCTCCTGGCTTTTTATTGTATATTTTTATACAAGGTTTTAAACAAAGAATTTATCGAGACTGGACACCCCTCTGTGTGAGGGGTCATATACGTGGACCAGACCGAGAATAGCTTAAACACGCCAAAGGTCAACGGTCGCGACCACTTGTACGCTCAAAGGGGTGTTTTGGGGCCACCAAAAGGCACCATTTTCACGACCGAAACACATATACAATAAAAACAAGAAGCCATAGGTGACAATCCTCCGTGAAGTTTTATATATTTCAACAAAATCCCAAGCGTCAACGCCAGACCTACTGTGCAGACATTATAATTAGGCAACGGTTAATACAATGAGGGCGCGTCACAAGCATAAAACATACAAAGAGCTAAATCCATTACTGCTCCCAGGGCGTGTAAAGATACTGTGCTTCAAGTTCGAAGTTCATTTTAATTACACACACACACACAATCATTGCATTCACATAAAGATCGGACTATCATGGTCGTGTCTAGTAACAAAGATAGCCCCACCGTCTTACCGTGCCTGTACCTAATTAAGCGCGCCTGGAACAGGACAAATTCCAGCAACAGTTGCGGTAAGCACCGCGAGTGTTACTACCGCCGGCCAGATAACCAGGATATCTGCTTATAGTACCTCTGCTACCAGACAACTGCCTAAACCTACGGCCTATTCCACAGGATTGTAAAAGTAGGGATGTTTCTAAAATATGCATTTACTTCAATATCAAAACAGCTACGGTAAAAATAGAAAGACGTGCATCATCCCGGACATAATGCCACACCACATGCGAAATTACACAGAAATGCGACGTACGGAAGAATACGTTTTGGCTGCGAACATCTTCCAAAAAACTTGGCATCTCTTAACCATGGGCAAAAACATCTGGAACCACTTATAAAAACCACCCCGTATCTGCATGAAGTTCCACCCCCCCCACTGCTATTCCAAACAACGCGTTTTTCTGGACCATTCCAATTCGCCTCGTAATTGTAGGGGTGCGTCTGCAATATTACATTGACCGCGAAAGCAGCAACGACAAAAATACACATTCGTGCATCAACACGGGCATGCCCGCAGACGGCGTATAAAATTGCGTGCCGATTACACAAAGAGAACCCAGTGTTTTGACTGCGAACATGAAAAATCAGTCGATCACAACACTCCGTCCGGAGGTCCTGACCTCCTTCACGGAGTAACAAAAGAACGTGCATCATCTGCAGCCCAATAGCAAAACATATACTAAGTACCGAGTCTCAAAAGAATCCGTCCACCCAAACGTGAGAAACAGCTGCGAACATGAAAATCTAAATCTCTCACAAAACCCTCCCCCGGAGGTAAAAAAATGAATGTCATTAACAGGTATTTGCCATCCGTTTGTATCGCGGTGTAACATATGTCATATACTGAAAATAACCGGTGTAGGAGAATACAAATAATTAATTAAAAAAAAATGGAAGTTAAGATACCAGAAAATGGGGAAAACTGTGGAGCCTTTATTTTTAGTGATTTTGAAAACAAGTAATGCAGAGAAAATACACTCAAGTGACGTCGACATAGAGCTTCGCAATGTTAGTCACCTCATAAAATCATACAAGAAATGAGATATGAATTTATGGTATAGGGAGAATATATCACTGCACGAAAACTTAGATTTACCAATACCAGTAGAGTTGGGTTATGTTTACTTTTATTACTAAACACTTCTGAACTTTACAATGGTAGTAAATAAAAGTCAAGTACGATAATACCAGACTTTTGTTAAGGAAATTACTGCAATTGACCTTTAGTTACGACGATTGTAAAGCCAGATACTGTGTACATAGTAAACTTTACCTGAATTTACAACCTTTGGTAAATCCAACTTTTCGTGCAGTGTAGCAAACAATCATTGTACATCAGAAGTAGCGATGGACACTTATATAGGTCGGAATGTGTGTTATTATAACCTATCAGCATGAAAGTTGGCTATTCACTTGTCAGTATGTCTAAAGAGGATGTAGGGGTATGTCATATTCCACTGGATCATGAGGCAGAAATTTGCAGTCACTCCCTCATAATACCGAAGTGGCCAATCTTTACTGTCTGGCTAATGGATACTGCCTGGCCAATTTGATACTGTCTTTTGCGGCCTCCGAAAGATCTGTATGGAGATTAGGTACCTGTAGTTACTAGCACATATGGAAAGGAAGGAAAGGTCTCCCGTGCCCTTATGCAGACCGTAGGGTGGTGCCCATATCCATTTCTGTAGCCACTACAGCAGGGAGCTGGTCCGCTGGTAGTGCTGTGTGTTTGACCTTCCCACACCCTTTCTCTTATGTGCTGAGTGCTAAGCAGAGAAAGAAGTGTGTACCATTTTTAAAGTCTTTGGTATGGCCCGGCCGGGGTTTGAACTCACGACCTCCCGGTTACAAAGCGAGCACTCTACCATTTGCGCCATTGTACCGGTGCACATATGACTGCACTTTAATGTGGATTTTCTTGATCATACTGTAGAGGTTTCTGAACAAGTTACAAGAGGCCGCGGAAAGTCGTGTAGACCAGGTGCTGTGACAAAGCAGAGGCGGAGCAAAACAGTATGTGGTAAGAAATTTCAATCTCAATGTTGTCATGTTCTATCAACACTAACCTCTATCACTGTGAAGAAAGATGTATTTACCAACGTTAACAAATGCCAGGTAAGTTTAGCAAGGGTTGCTTTAGGCGAATAAACGTCTCCGGTAAAGATATGTGACCTGTTGGCTTTAATCGCTACAACAGGTAGCCATCTCATTTTTTTTTGGAAAGAACGCTGCATACCGTACGAAAAACTTAATCTTAGGCATTAGGTGATTATGTATTTGCCCCATGCAACTCAGAAAGGTACGTCTGCGAAAGGTAGTCTAAACGATAACGACACATGGGAGTTTGATAACGGCTACGATATCACATGCCAAAAGTAACAATTATGGGACTTACCTGACATCATCTTCTTTGTATTAATGAATTCCACTTTTCGTGCAGTGGCAATGCCATTAACAACACCGAATATGTTTTTTTTATCTAAACCTGGATACATTAAAGATTTTCATTATACTTCTCAGCCCTTATGAAATGCTTTGAGGTTTAGGCAGGGATGTATTTCTGGCAAGTATTAAAAAAGTTTTAAAAAAAATACGGCCATACTATAGTTTGCTAGTTTACAAATGCACGCAATATGTTCAATATTACACGAGAAAAAAAAGCATATGTAGTAGGGTCATTTTAATACCCGTTTTATGGATTAAGTATCAAATCAAATGTACATCTAGTACATGCTCTTAGCCCGATAAGGAATTCAATGTACATTATATTATTGTTATCATTGTTATTAGACTAGTAGCATTATCATTACGTTTACCAGAAATGTGAGGAAACATATAGTACATGTTCCTTAACATTTACGGATATTTTGATTCCTCTCCACAGTGAGCTGCCCATCGGGTACATTTTGGAAAGATACCACCGGAGGGCCTAAGTGTGTGGACTGTCCAGTAGGTACTTACCAAACCGAGACGGGCCAGACAGTTTGTAACGACTGTCCAAATAAAACCAACACTACCGAAGCCGGAGGCAAGAGAGAGGAAGACTGTCATGGTAATTATGTGTTATTTATGTGTTTTTCAATAAAAGTTAGATTTAAAGATTTCTTGTTGATGAACAATACTAACTTTTTTGTTGATGGGATGTCATACATACTTAATCGCATGTCGTTGTGTTAATATTCTGGAGATTTTTGTTGTGTTTATATTCTGAAAATGTTTGTTGTTTTAATATTCTAAAGATTTTTTATTATGATGCCAAACACTGTTTTTCTTGACAGAATACCATCAACTGCATGTTGCTTTGTCAATATTCTAAAGATTCTTATTATACTCGTCAAAAGCAGTATAAACAAGTAAAATCTGAGATTTTATACCTCCGGGCTTTTTATTGTATATTTTTATATGTTGTTTACAACAACAATTGTTGCGCGCCGCAGGACTAGGGTTTTAAACAAAGATTTTATCGAGACCGGACACCCCTCTGTGCGAGGGGTCACCTTCGTGGACGAGACCGAAGTACCTAATACACACCAAAGGTCAACGGTCGCGACCACTTTCACGCTCAAAGGGGTGTTCTGGGGCCACCAAAAGGCACCATTTTCACGCCCGAAAACACATATACAATAAAAACAAAAGAACGTGCATTATCTGCAGCCCAATAGCAACACATATACCGAGTCTCAAAAGAATCTGTCCACCCAAACGCGAGAAACAGCTGCGAACATGAAAATCTAAATCTCTCACAAAACCCTTCCGCGGAAGGATGTCTCCTCCCCCGGAGGTAAAAAGAGAGAAGCTGTTTATTAGCTTTTATGTTCATGCTTAAGAATATTTATCCTAGTTAAATGCAAATGTGATTATTATTACTTGATCGTACTGTTTTAGCGTTGTTGTTTCAGAAGTTGTATAAAACCGTGCTTAGATTTGAATGTATATTGTGTAAATATAGCCTGGATTCCGAACTAAATCTTGTTTGGGATGTCATTCATATCCTTATTAACAACGTTTGAAATTCTTCCCTCAGACTTGTGTCCTCCAGGTACTTTCTCGGACACTGGACTCGGGCCGGACTGCATGCCATGCCGACGAGGCTTCTACCAACCGCTCGCTGGTCAAACCTCGTGCCTCTGGTGCCCGAAGAACACAAACACCACCCGCAAGGGAACTGTCTCCGAGGACGATTGTGTCGGTACGTTTGCCTCAAGATCTAAAAGATCCATTATGTAACATAAGGGCGACTATCATGTAGTCATGCATGTTTGTTTACATTTTGTGGTATTTGTGGTGGTTCCACAAAATGTGAACTATTCTCGTGCCAACTATTAATGTCAAAAGTGTAAGATAATTGCACAAGTATGACTAAAGGTGGAAGTAAATGGCAATTACATGAATATCTTTCTCGATAAAAAAAATGTTTTGGAAGCAACATGTTTTAAAACGCCCCCTTTACCTATAAATACTTTCAACCATTTCAAAATCATAATTAAATTCTCAAAACTTTGTATTCTTAATATATCCTCAATATTAGGCAGATTTAGCGTATTTAAATGCACTTTTTGATAGAATGGTAGCTTTGCTGCATATTTTTAGGTTTCATACAAAAAATAACCATGTCATTCTTATGTTCTTTTCCAGGAGACGAAGAGTAGAAGAATTATGATTCCAGACAACACGAAAAAAGATACCTGCAATAAAGACGAAATAACTGACAAAACTCACAAATATACATGTATAACATCTGTTAAAAAACGCACTTATGTTACAGTACTAGAACACCACCGTGTTTAATAATAGCTGTTCCTCTATTATAGCTAGTGACCCAGGAATTAACAAAATAGAAAATGCAGAATTGTCGAAGAAATAAAGAACAAGAACAAATATTATTTTGTACATTTGTTGATTATTTCAGATATCATGACAGATTATCTCGCCAATATATTAAAAAAAATCATTGTAATGTCCAATCGTCTGGCATGTCAAACACGTTAACTTCTGTTTTTAAACAATACATCACATGGATTACAATTAAGATATCAAGACGCAGTATCCACACTATATATCACTGTGTTAAGCTGTCTGAAAAAGGGTAACAATGATAGAATATAAACAAATCTGACACTAAACTCGAAGGTTGTTAAAAAAAACTGCTGAACAAGACGATCACAGTTACATGTACTAATCTTAATTGGTTTGCAATCATCTTTCTGAACCCCGAGGTTTTTTGATTACTAATTTTGGTATGCCGCCTGGCGATGTGCTGCTGAAGTGCAGGTTTGCTGGCTGCTGAGACACCGCAAGTAGGACGGTGCCGAAGTGCGACTGGAGGTGATACAAAAACACTGTGGGACCAGTCCACGTTACAAAGGAACAAACTGAAGAGTAGTAGGCCGCTACTATAATACTTTCAAAATAAAGGTACATATTTCTAAGAACTGCATATTGCCTTATGGGTGACATTTAGTGTCTCCATTGTCGGTGAAATTTGATGGTACTGAAATTGTGCGCATTTTACAATGTTTAGAACAGACCTAGGGCTGTTACAAAAACTTGATAAGGAGGCCGAAGGGGTGGAAGGTACAAAATCAGCTTTGGTTCCTTGTGACCAGATTTGTTCAGTGACTGAGGCAATTGCCAATTTTTGCAGCTTACTACACATTGATTTGATTCGTTGAATCCTTGAGAATGATAGATTGGAATATCATACATATAAGTTAATCCCCATGCATCTCCATAATGATATCTTTTGTTGGTGTCTTATAAGCTGATGTGGCGTGTAGTCGCAAGACACAATAATAAACTTTCATTCATTCATTCATTCATACAAAGTTGGTTGTTACCTTCGTCAGAGGGACTATGGAATCAGTCGGCCTTTTTGTGGATGACTGCGGATTTAGCGGAATAAAGTTGAAGGCATGGTTCCACATCCATGATTTTTGACAGGCAGATTACCATTGTTGAGGCCGAATTTAAGAACAAGTATGGGCTTCGTACGTCAATGCAGTGGATTATTTGTGTTCATATATAGAGAGAGACTATAAGGTTTGAACCACTCACAGGACCCCAACTCTTTTTGGTAAGGGCCGTCGGTCTGGACACAAGTTTGGTTCTTTACTGTGGACACAAGTTCGGTAACAAGGCTGGAAATTGAACCCAGAACCTCTTGTTTCTGAGCTCAACACGCTACCGTTTACGCCACACAACCCCACATGATACAAGCATGTATTTTAATGTGCCGCACGGGTGACTGTACTGTGTCTTTGTTTGAACAACGTACCTTTATCTTTTCGCTTGAGAATTTTACCGTCTGTCCTGAATGGGTATAACCAGCACGTCGGGCATACGGTATTTACAGCTTCAGGCCGCACGGGGGACTGTGTTCATTCGTTTTGGGTTGCCTAAGCTAATTCAGAAGATAACGACATACTGGAATAATTATCAGGCAATTTAGGTGGTGAGAGTGAATGAACCAAATTCGAAGATAAATATCACATTGATATGAAGTAAATAGAAATTTTATTCAAACTGCCCATACATTTTGGGCCTACCAAGATGACTGTTATCGTACATCGATATATTGATTTCTGTATACAAACAAAAGACGACTTCTCTTTCATGGTCATTTTAACACTTTTGTATAGCTCGTGCGACGTCTTCTCTTTTACTCTTACAAGATTCAAAATGCCTACCATGACCGTGTGGGTGTTGACCACAGCCCTGTTGTGGTCAGTTCAGTGGTCAGATGTAACAGGAGAAGGCCATATAGACCCGTTGACCTCGTCACTGTGCAGACTGCGGGAGGAGTGTACTCAGAAAGGTGAGAGAAGTTGCAATAATAAGGAAAGTCTTTTCCATATGGAACTGGCTCTTTTACATACAATAAACAAATAGATAAACGGTTAACCATTTAGTCCGTGTTCATGCATGTCTTTTTCTTCATATTCCAACATATAATCACAGACGTGGTGACGGCACACTCAAGTTTTTCAACTTATATTAATGCCGCCACCAACACAGGGGACAATACAATACTAATTTTCACCTGAGCTGTTAGTTAGGAAGTTAGGAAAGTCGTGTGAAGTGCATGCCTTTCCTAAGGACGCAAGCTTAAGATCGGTGGCATGTCAGGACTCGAACCCGGGACCTCTTGGCTCCGAATCGAGCACTCTGCCGCTACGCCACACGACCCCCGAAATACTTCCATCTGGAAGTTGGTGATTCACTACAAATCCAAAGTGATGGAGGCCTGGCGAAACTCTGTCTCGTACGTGCATTCGCCACGCTATTTTACGCGAACCGTATATTTATACGTATTGTCTATAGAAGCTACTTGAAGAAGAGATGTTAATCATACTTCATTTCAGTCGAGGATAAGAAAAGACAATTGACTATCTGGATGTCTTAACTTCATCAACGTTCTCTCCATTTTAGTAAACGTTGAAGACTTGGAACACGACGAACTAGGAACTCCACAGGCGATCTGTGTAGACTTTATGGAATTGTTGGAGAAACACGACGTAGATTGCGGTAAACATTGATGCATGTTATTGTTTTAGAAAAGCAAAGAACATTGCATTTGACTGTTGTAATGCCATGTTAACCAAATGTTGCCAATTGGAACCTACACGCGCGGGCGTCCACCCCTGAATCCCTGAACAGTAAACAACTGACTACTGTTGAGATGTACCCCCGTGTGCTTTTGTATGTAGACCCCCTCCCCCCCCCCGTGGACACATTGTTAATAGATGGTAAGTTCGAACGTTGAGCTCACTAGTTTGTGATTGTCTGTGATTGTCTGTGAAAGAGACTTAAAACATAGTTCTCTTCGGAGCTTGCGACTGTATACTACCTGATCATGATCTCAGAGAACTTTAAGTTAAACTTTGTAAACAGAGCAATCTCCCTCTGGGATGTCATTCGTATAAAGCCCTCTCCGTCAGCTGCTTCGAAAACAAACGTTAACTCTGGACACTGCTCGATGACAAATACTTGATGATAAATAAATGGTAACTGCCGTTAACGTTTAGTCATTTGTTTAACCTTTTATATAATTATGACCACGTAAATTTCATAATGAAGGAAACTTTTTTGCCAAACTTATTTTATTCGCACGCCCACGTCAGTTTGTGGTTCCCAGAGGATGTCATCCATTTAATAAAATCGAGATGGCCTAATTGACCGGTACACATAACACTTGGAACAGGGCCTTTAGGATGAGTGAGTTATACTTTTTTTCTCTACCATTATAATAGAAACACTGGAGGACCCTGGAGTAAAGCCAGCTGACGTTGAACGGACACTGGAGCTACAATACACCGATAAGGAACGCGAACAACGTGAGTTAGGTTATGAACCAGTTTAAACTGTAACACAAGGGTTTGAACTTACCAACGTTTTTACTGTACATTGTCAACTCCTGTCTTTGTCAAGGAATGAGAAATCCATCGCTTCCGTGACGTCACGTTATGCAAATGTCTCGGTAAAAGTCTGTGTCGCCTCCCGTCTTTGTTGAGTCACCTGTGTCAGCTGCATAACGTGACGTCACGGAAGCAGTGGATTCAGAATTATTGAATAAAAAATCAATTTAATATACCATTATAAAGGATTTTTTAAATCAAGCAAATAGAATCTCAAGACGCGTTCAAATATTTGTCGGTAACGAGGCCATTACTATTTTGCAGCACCGACATCTGAAAAAGGCAAGGAAAACAACGGTGACCTCGGCTACAAACCTCATCCTATAGACAACCCTGGACAACAATTCAGCGGCAATGATCAGGAGCGAATGAACCAATACCAGGACTGCTCTCATATCTATACTGCTGGTTCAACAACCAATGGCGTTTACTTTATCAAACCTGTTAACGTTAGGGATAAGCTCTCTGTATACTGTGATCAGACCACAGATGGGGGAGGGTGGACGGTCATACAGAGGAGGTTTAACGGGTCCCTCGAGTTTTACCGCTTCATTGATGCATACCGAGACGGGTTTGGGAACTCTAGTGGCGAGTATTGGCTAGGGTTGGACAACATCCACCACATCACTGCCCAGACCTCTTACGAACTGTACATTGAGCTCAAAGATTGGCAGGGAAATGTCAAGTACGCTAAATACTCCACATTCTCAGTTGGTCCCGGTAATAATTACACGTTGGCTATCGATGGATACAGTGGAACAGCCGGGAATGGTATGGATCTAAACAGTGGTCTCAACTTCACCGCTCGCGGGTCGGACCCGGAAGCGATCTTAGATATTTCAATGGCACAGTTCTATGGTGGCGGCTGGTGGTACTTTTGGTTAGGATCCCATAGTAATCTGAACGGTCCGTACTTCCGAGATACGGACGGGTTTAACAGCGACAGCGGAAACGGTCCGGGAGTTCTTTGGTCTCCTTTTCACGATAACGTGTACTATTCTCTAAAAGAGACCAAGATGATGGTCCGCCCCAAAGGCTAGGCAGACCTATGGGGGATAATTAAGAATCTGAAAGTATCAAGTGTTACATCTATGGTACATTTGATATTAAACTTAACACCACAAAAAAGCTTGGTTTTAATTAAACCAATCAATTCTGACCCCTTCACTGAACAAGATTTATATAGCTTGCTTACAAATGTGTATATTCTATTCGGTCAGTAAGTCACATAAAATCAATTACAGAAAGACAGGTAATATAATCACGCAAATGCTAAAGGACGACCACCTCCTACATGAAGTTATCCCTTTTCCTAGATCCTCAACTACTGGACGTTCATTCAGAATTAGAAACAAAAACATCATCTCCATCCCCCAGCAAGAACAAAAAGACTACAGAACTATTTCCTATATATAAGTCGATCAGACTCTATACTCAGGCTGTATAATCTGAATGGTACAAGATTCTTGATTGTATTTCAAAACAGTCCATATTCCGGTTCCATATTCCGATTTTTATCCCGATATATTGTTACTGTAGTACTATAGCTTGCGGCATTAATTATAACTGACAATATTATTAATATGAAAATATTATTGAGGAGTAAACGTGTAAAACCTTTAAATAGATGTATGTGACCGATTGCCTTATATACGTAACCGATTATCTTATACGGGCCCGATAACCTATAACTACTGTATCTGTGTCTAAAATTCTACTAGAGTACGCTATATGTAATATTTTAACAAAACATGTTTTGTGCTTTTGTAAAAGATCAGCGTACTTCAGTCTCCTGTCAAAGGCTTCTGCGACACTGTACCTTGTGGTAGTTGAATAAACCAGTCATATATGTTTGGTATGTCTATTGTTGATATTGTATGTGTGTACAAATGTATGTACTATGTATGTAATATGTATGTACATGTGGTCACGCGGCCGGACTCCCTTGGCCAATTTTACTCTCTCGAATTCTACGATCCGTATTCCCGTACAAAGGCCTGGTGGAGGCCACTTCTTGTGTGTGTTTACAAAGCGACAAGGACCTTGGGGCCAGAGACGGGTTTTTAGCAATTTAGGGGCCGCTTTGAACACTTGGAACAGACATCAAGTTCAATATAGCTTAATCCACCACAGGACAACAAGTTTTTTTCATACTTTTTATGCAATTATTAGCAAAAATACTATTAGGTACTTTCATTCTTCCACATTACATGTATTTTTTATATAACTTAAACACTAACAGACTAATGACAAAAAATGTAATAAATAGATGTTTATTTTCAGACATTTATTTGGTACATTTGAAAAAAAAAGTCAATTCTGTTATTATTCAAAGGCAAAATACCATATGTTTGTTCACACATCCCTGACAATAATGTATACAATCACTGTGAATAGAATTTCAAAACTTCCTTACAACACAGAGTGCCATCAGTTTAGTGTATACAGTATTGTCGCAAATTCAACATCTTTGGTAGGTTTAACAATTTTATCTTCATTGCAATTAAGGACAATTAATTGCACAGTAATCACGATAGAGTACATTGAAAGTATGTCTAAGAATCTTTTCCATAGAGAAGCATATCCACATGTATAACTACAGTGAATAGACCATTTGAGAAGTGCAAACTTTGCAAAATGCAACATAATGCATAAGTTTCATCTATACAGTGTTACATATTTTGAATCTTCCATACTTATGTCTAGTAATAGATTTTCATATTGCCACATCATCGTCTGTGAACTGTATCAGACAGATATCATTACATATATCTATGATAATTATTCAATAATCAATTTCTGTCAACGTTTGAAACATCTTTGTTCATCTGAATTTATGAATCCATGTTCCTCTTGCACTTATTTGGTCCTGTACTATTGTATATATCCATGTAAATTTGGGTAAGTCCAATTTCTTGTGTTCGAAATTGCAGTTCAAACTTTCAGTTTCATAATATGTAATACTGATATGTATTTCGGGTAAGATTTTTAAATTCATATTTATTGCTGTGACCATTCCAGCACAAAATCAATTCAGACCACAAAAAAATGTATCTATGCCTATGGCATACATGTAGATAAATGAATTACAGTAAGTAATGATCTTGACACATTATTAAGTAATGGAGACTGTCAAGAAAAAAGTCCCTCACTACGAAAAATATATCATTGACTGTAACCACACATTTTCAATATAAAACAATATATATAATGCACATTCTAAGTTTTATTATTTAGTTGTTAACACATAGCCACGAAATCATAATTCTTATTTATTCAATGGTTCGGCTGTCCAACCAGCAAGGGGCTACAATCATAATAAATATAATCCTGTTCATTTGAAACTCACTTGATAATACATGCAATTATAATTACATCATTGAAAATGATATTAACAATATAATCAATTGCACTCAAATCACTTAACAATACTAGTAGTATATCACACTTTTTGGGTGATTGTCAGAGACTGTACATACAATCATGTGATGACATTTGATAACTTTGCATGTATGTACATGTATTACCATATATCGATTTGATAGCACAAGACTTACATGTACGTACAATATACATGTAGATTGTATCGGGGGCGCAAATATTTTCTATTCGACCAAAGAGAAGTTACATTTGAGTCAAATTTAACTGCGAACCAAGCCCAGACCTACACCTGAACAATGAGCAGCAGTGTTCAGGAGGCCATATATTTCAGCGTTGTGTGACAGATGATTTTTCTAATGATATAACAGTTAGATGAAGGATATCTTGGGTTCCCCTGTGTAGTCTGGAGGTCGGTAGATCCCCGCTGCTATCTGGTCGTGTCTCCACAAGTGTTCACAGATACTATTCAAGAACTGGGCCACCTAAAAACAGCAATGAACAGCTCCATTAAGTCATGTTAGGCCATGTTGATTTGATTATATGGATGACATCCGCGCGCGCATGAATTTTCGGCCGTTTCCAAAAAAAAAGAAAGTTTTCAACCATACTGTAAATCGTACAAAACAGTTGCAAAACGAGCAAAAATATACCGTAAGTTACATATAAAAAACCATACCAATGTCGTAGAATGCCAAAATCCAACGAAAAAAGACGAAATTGTAAAGAAATGAACTTGAAGACTAGATTATTCGCCAAACCATATTCTGTCCCATTTGTTCAACCCTCATGACCACTTAGATTTCATAATAAAAACAACTTTTTTTTTGTCAAAACTTTTTTTTTATTCGCACGCACGCATCAGTTTTGGGGTTCCCGGAGGATGTCATCCATATAATCAAATCAACATGGCCTTATAATCAAAAATAAATATAGACATACATAGGACATAGGAGTTCTGATGTGCAACGTCAAAATTGTTCTGCTTGCTGATTCTGAATGTGAAGGAGCTTTAGTTAGATTGACATCCTCTCAGATTGAACGTAAACCAGGGGTTCTCAAGTTTTACAAGCACTGAAAACTAGGTGTTACTGCCTCACCGTACACTCTATGTGTTACTGGTGATGGTTCACTGTGTACTGAAGCTGCTTAGGTGATACTGGTTCATGCTGTATATACACACTGCATTATTTGTAAATTGTATGTTGTTTTTGTATGAATAAAGGAAAAAAAAGAAGAATTGTAACCTCCATGATCCCTGCCCGGCCGTCCAGAGCTTTCCCGTCAGGCGTCCGCGGTCCGTCCACGTTACGGATCATCAGCACCGGGACCTTCCAGCGATGCTCAAACTCACGGATATCCCGCGTGGGCACCTCGTTATGTAACGTCTGGTCGTATCTACAAAGTTTAGAGTTAAGGTCTTGTATGGGGGTGGGAGGTTAGAATAGCCACAGTAGCCATGTAATACATGCAGGGCTCAAATTCCTTTTTTCTGCATACCAGCACTGGTGCAGGAAACACTGAAAAATCATCTGTTATGTAACGTCTGGTTGTATCTGCTAAGTCTACAGTTAAGAGCTTGGAGCCAGGGGGGGGGGGACAGAATACAAGTATGCCACAGTTTATCAAATACATGTATACCCAAAGAGAAAATAAGAAGGAAAGATATAGCAAAAAATTGTGCATTTCGCAGGTTAGGGGTCAGAGAAAGACTCCCAATTCACAATCCATGTATCAAGCATGAGTTTCAGAGTCACAGGTAAGAAAAGAACATGTAGGCTTAGTGCTTTCTGTGCTTCATGTCCAATTCATGTACTTGTTTGTATTGCTTTTGCCCTGTGTTATTTCTTGTATTTAGAAGATGTAAAGTCAACACAATAGAAGTATTTCAGAACTATTTTATTTTTGTGTACTTCTGCTATGTTGATTGGTTGGAATAAAAAAAAGAAAGATAAGCAAAAAAAATATGTAACAAAATAAAACCACACTGTAGTGCACAAGCAGCGATAAGTCATATATAAGATCAAAACTACACTTTAATAATAATAATGCTTGCGCAGAAAACATTGACTGGTGGATTAACTACTAGTAATTGTTTATTTGATTAGAAAGTTCTTCCTTGATAGGATACTTTGTCCCGACCACCAGCCTGAGAATGGACTCGGAAGATTCCACTACGCGGGACATGAGGTGGGGCAGGTCCTCAAAACTGGAGCGGTCGGTGAAGGAGAAAAGGAACAGTACAGCATCCACCTTGTCTTTACACGCCTGAAAACATGTGCAACAAAGTTTCATAATTGATGCATTTTCTTGTAATCTCTAATGTACTGTCTCAGTCTGTCTACTTGATATATATATAATAGTAATAGAGCTGTCTACCTAAAGCCCTCATAAAGAATTCAGAACTTTCCCTTGAACAACGGCCGATCAAGATGAGCTTACGTACGGGTTCAGACCAGATGTAAGCCATACCTACCTTTCGATATGAATCAAATCAAACTTGAGTTAAATTTGAGTCAAAATTGACTCAAATTTCAATGCCAACCACTCCCCTACCTACTCCCACGTTTAAACATATCTTGTAATGTTTAACAATTATTCCAAGGCAAGAAACAATTTACCACTCACAGGTAAAATGTGGTCAAACTTCTTGAGAGCCTGCTCCCCGGCATCCCAGAAGTGCAGTTTGAACATGATGACCTTTTCTCTCTGTACCAGCTTGGCTGGCCAGTACAGGACTGTAGTCTGGATACCAGGTGTCTGGGGGAAAAAATCACATGTTTTTACAGAGGTGTTGTATTGGGTGGGACTGTCTGTGGGTTTGTGACTTCTGTATGCTAATGTCCATGAGAGATAGCTGCTAGTACAGGAAGAGTGGGGGGATATTTGACTGTGTGATTAAGCCTAAAAGTGACACTGCAGGCAAGTATAATTGCACATGTGTGGTAGAACAGATGGGGAGCAAGGGTCTACTCTTATGCTTAGGAAAAAAATTTTTTTCCTGTTTCTAGACCGACCCTATCTTTTTTATGGGTGGATGCCTGCAAGGGACATAAAATTTTCGAGCTGATTGACCTTTTCTAGCTCCATGAGATCTGACACCTGAGTAATGAAACGTTGTACAATATGGGTTTTCCAACTTGTAAGTGTCCTCATGCAAGTTTAACATTACTTATGTTTACTGTATCGTGAGTTGGGTCACCAGAGATCGCCAAAGGCTAATGAAAAAAAAAATTCAAAAGAGATAATCTCTAACAATGTTACCTACCAACCCTAATTTTCTCAGGACTGAAACAGGAAACACAACATTTTTCGTAGGCCTTATACTCACCTCCTGGTGTGTAGGTGGGACTTCTATCCCCGCCAGTTTGGCGACTGTTGCCGTCTTGCCGACGCCTGACTTCCCAGCCAGGTAGATCTTATAGGAGACCATCTCTGGGTCCTGCTGGGGAGACAGGCTGGGACGCTCCAACAGACCTGCAGAAATTACTCTGTTTTTATCTTTATCCAACATTCACCTAGCAAACCGCCTTTAGCACGATACACCAGTTTTGTATGTTGAAACTTACAACATGAGTAAGACCATACTACAAGGTTTGAACAGTCACAGTCACATTGGGAGGACCTGGCCCTGCTCTTCCAGTGCAGTGGGATCATTACCAAACGTGCTAGAGGTGTGGTGTGGTTCTCCGATTTACGTCCCATCCAACTTTCCAAGAGGACAAGTGATGCTGGATACTCGTTTTTACCATGTTTTTACCTTGCAAAATCAAGTGATCAAATGTATATTAGTGACTTGAGCTTGTTGCTGGAAGTGTTTTACATGTAGATGTACATGCTGAGCAGCTGTGCGTCTAAGCCCCCCTCCCCCTTATACCACCTGCACGTTTCCTCACCGAAAATCCGGCGCCTGTTCCTCCTGAGAATCCCGGCGAGGTACTCGCGTCCCTCCGGCGTCTTGTACCACTCGGGGCTGATCAGGGCGCCCGGAGAAACCAACGACGTCACCGGGGCAGACATTTTACATCATTTTCACAACCGACCTGAAAAATTCGAAAACTTCGGGCGCCATTTTGTTTGAACCAATGGAATCATCCAATCTGAATGAGGTATCCCCAATTTATTTTTAACTACTACTTCTTACAATCAAAAGTTTGATCATCTAAGACTATCAAAACATTAATCTAAATCATTAATATCTTTACATATACTTGCGTTTTCGTGGTTTCTTTCTTCAATTTTATTCATTGGTTATTTAATATAAAACCTTTATGACATCCCCGCTTAGAAATGTGTACGTCCAGATCCCGCTATGCTTTGCGGTGAGATGTGAAAAGATACAGTTTCGTAGTCACTGCGTCGTAAATTTTCGAGTTTTATGAGGTGTAAAAGACAGCTATTGTTGCGTCACAGTGATTTTTTAATCCCAGCTAGACTTTTCTCTGCACAAGAGAAAATAACAGTGTCATCAGTGTTACAGACGTGGTTTTGTAGCCTAATTTGCAGTGAAGACGGCGAAAACGCCCCCCTCCCCCTTAGCTCGCAGTATAGTAGTAGTGTATGGCGAAAATTCTCGCAAGCTGACAATAATGGACGACAGTGTCTCCTGTGGCGGTTTCTCGGTGAACGATCTCCCAGAGGAGCTACTGGAGCGGATCCTGCTGTTCCTGTCTCCGTACGGGGAGTACAAAACCGCCGCGCTGGTCTGTAAACTGTGGCGGAGACTTATCAAAGGTCGGTATGCATAAATTAAAAACGAGATACAGTGTCTACTTGACTGTACAATATATGAAGATGAACGTCAAGAGCTATTTGTTACTTTACAATAAGACAAGATATGTAAGAAAATGTCAAAGCAGGACACGTTTAAACACTTGATGTCATGAAAGAACGAATGTATAGCAGACAAACTATAACGTTAGTTATGTTTCCAAATGTTTCAAAAAAGGGAAGAAAGGGCAACTAACAGTTAAGAGTAGAGTAGCATCTACAGCCAATAAAGGACGTTAACATGTTAACATTAAATACTAGTGATAGGTAGTATATAGTGTTGTTGTAATGTATAGACTCCTAGCACTTAGCATTAGAATATATATAGCATTCCAGTATGCAATATTCATATTTTCTACTTCTACACAATACTAAGCAACACCCCTCGCGGTGCCTAGTGCTTAGGGGAGTGGTTCTTCCCCGGCGTGACCGGTGGTGGTGGTAAAAACAACAAGAACAAAAACAAGTGCAGTGACTATATACAGAAGTCGTCTCTATTTCAAGATTCCCACTGTAGTTTAGTGTAGTAACAGTAACAGTACCCTTCACTCCCTCCAGGTGTTAGCAAGCAGCACTACCAATCCTTCATCACCTCCATTGGTGAGGGAACCATCCAATGGCACACCATCCGCGGTCCCTCCCACCAACCACAGCCCGCGCCTCGCATCTCCCACAGCGCCTGTTACTATGACGACGACCAGGCCATGTACGTGTTCGGAGGAAGCTCCGTGGCCAATCCCAACACTTGTTTCAACGACCTCTGGAGGTTTGACCTGGCCAGTGAGGAATGGGTGAGACCACTGGCAGCAGGTAGGTACCAATTTAATACCAATCTTTCTAAGGGTCATTGAAAGTCACTGCCAGAGGTTGTATCTGCCACTGTTCTTAGCAGTCATTAATGACTAGAAATATCAGTAAAGCAGATTAGTGTACTGTTACTGTAATTAGTGTAAATCCATTTTTGTGTGTGGTAGGAAGGGGGTAGGGCTAAGGAAGATGTTTTATAAAGGGGGCAATACTATAGTATGTAATAGTTTGATAAAGTGAAAATGAATAATCTGATGTCTTATTCTAGCTGTGTGACATGAACCACAAATGTTTGAAAATTTCACTGTGTAAACCACAGACATTTGAATTTTTTCTTAGCAACAAACATTTTAAAATTTCAATGTTTCAAAATTTAAGTACAATGTATCTGTCACTTGATTTTTATCAGAATAATAAGGTCAAACAAAGTTCACTCTGTTGTTACATAATGCCTAATTTTTAGCAATATCTTGATCTTGATCCAAAAATGCCTTGTACATATATTATTGATGAATGTTTGCGCTCATTGACTTGTACATGTAATTCACGTAAATGTACAGTACTTTGTCCCACCATGTTCACCTTTGCCCGGGCTTGTCAGGTTCCTACCCCTCCCCCAAGGCCTGGGCGTCCCTGGTTCGGTACAAGCGCTGCCTGCTGCTGTTTGGAGGATGTGCTCGACCCAGCCCCTACCCCTACCACCAACCCGAGAGGTACAGCAGTGTTTCAAGTACAAGTCTCTGTGTTTCACCTACATTCTATAGCCTCTGTAGCAGGCTTATAGAACTGGGGGTTTGGTGGACTTCGGCTATATCCTGATTAGCCCAGTTCTAAACGGGGGTAATTCAACCAGGCCGTCTATGTTGTCTATATGCAATTAGAAAATAGCACATAAAAGCTCCCAAAAACCATGAAGACCCCCCAAACCACCTGTTTTTGGCATGCTATGGAGGCTATACATGTACATATTGTGTTTCCAATAACTCTCACACAGAAAACAAGACTTGCATGGCAAGATTATGACAGTGGGTATTTCTACCACATATACATATAGCAACATATAGTTATAGACCTTACGAAAGTCAATGTACTTTTGTTGTGTCAATAGATTTTTCTGTATAACATTTTTACCACAGGTACTTTGATGAGATCCACCTGTACACTCCTACAGACAACAGATGGAGCTATGTGGTGACCTCGCCCTCCCCCCCTCCTGTAGCTGGGCATGGGGCCAGTGTGATAGGAGACAGGATGGTGGTGATAGGGGGATCTCTCAGTCTACAGAGGAGGTGAGTAGGCGGTGGAGGGGGGGGGGGGCTAGATCAATTTCGCATCCACATAGCCTAGCGGCGACCAATGGGTGACCAGCATTCGGTGCCACGCCCACTTTGCGGGCGATTCCATTCGACAATGGGGTTGAACAGCATCCTACCGTACAGCGCGGTAGGTAATCTGAGTTGGAAATGTCAGATAAACAATGTAAGAATTGGCGTATTTGGGGTTAATGAAAATAATGCAAGTACCGAAGTAACGGGTTCCTTTCTCAGCACTCGGTACACAGAGGTGAGGCGGCTTCCGTCCTAGATCTCCAGTGCCGAAGTTACGTCAACATTTGGTGTCCAGAGTCGGCGGCTTCAGCACTGGAAACTCGGAATCGGCAAATTAAACCTTGTCTTTAAAAAGGGTATCGAGATGCTGCCGCTCATATTTTAGAGATCATACCGCCTGGGTAACAAAGTTTAATTGGGACAAGGTTATCGGCAGGACAGGACTGCAAGGCCTCTTTTCTTACATTTTCACAGACAAAGACTTGGCCTAAGATACTGTTCTGTACGCCGCGCGGCCGACGTAAGCACCAGAAGCCCAGTGCCAAAATGGTTTAACTCGGCTCGGTAGTTATTTTGCTCCAACTATTCAAAGACGCAGAATTTCAGAAAACAATTTACAAAGGTATCTTTTGAACAAGTTTAATAAACATCTCTTTCAACCATGTCTTGCTAAAGCGGGGGTTGTGGGTGTGGTCGAAATACTGCCCGCCTATTGGTCCCCGCTAGGCTGACTTGGATGGGAAACTGAGGTTCCGGGGGGGGGGTGATGATAGGGGGGTCGTCTAAGTCTACAGAGGAGGTAAGTAGGCGGGGGTGTGTGATAGGGGGGTGTCTCAGTCTACAGAGGAGGTGGGGGGGTTGTGAGTCTTGTAGCCATTTATATGTTTATATATATGAATGTGTTTGAGTAGGAATTAATAGAGCGGACCATATGTGAAGGTAAACATTTTGCATTTGCTTTGCAAACGTTACCTTTCTAGTTTATTATTATTACTCAAACTGTAACCGTATGATGTGTCCCTTCCAGGTCCAATGATGTCTGGGTGTTGAACCTACAGACCATGGAGTGGAGCATGCAGCAAGTGCAGGGTACACCCCCTCTCCCCAGGTTTGGACACACACAGGTACAACTATGTTTGCTAACTACATTTATTTCTCTATGCTGATTTTGTTTTGTTTGTTATGATTGCAGTATAATTTTGTATGTTTTATTTATTATCATTATTGCTAATAAAGTAATTATTACTATTGTTATTTTATGTTGCTGGACTCCAGGAAGAATAGTATGGAATTTACCATACTAATGGAGATCTAAAATGTAAAAGATCTAAGATGTAAAACATATATGTTGCTGCTGCTTTTTAACAGGTGGTTTTGGATGATGAAACTATCCTGATCATTGGTGGATGTGGAGGAGCCAATCAGGTGAGAACTGAGGGTTTGTTTATTCATTTATTTATGTAGATTTACCACAGTTACGTAAGGATTGACACAACAAGACTGGTGAGTATCACCTCTTAAAAGATGTCAAACCTGAGGCCAGACTGTAAGATTTGAACCACTCACTCCAGGAAGGTCCCCTGCATCTGTGACAACTTTGACAGGATCTTTAACATGCTTAAGATGTGGCTCTTCTTAAACATGTAGGATATCCGGCCTATGTCCTATCCGAGAGGACGTTCCTAACAGAACCTAGGTACTCATTTATATCTGAGTCAAGTGAGGAAATAGGTGTAAAGTACCTTTTTCAAGGACACAATAGTGGGGCCTGCCAGGGATAAGAAGCCAAAAAAAATTATATGCTTTGAGCCACAAGTCAAGCAGTGTAGGGTACAGTGACTGTATCCGTGACAGTGTTGTGTTCTCCTGCAGAACTTCAGTGATGCCTGGATGTTGAGGCTAGACACGACACCGTGGACCTGGAGTCAGCTGGGGGTGGACAACGAGAGCCTGGCTGCACCACACATCTGGTGTCATCCTGGCTGCAAGGTGAAGACTATTAATATAGTATTATATTCAGGCCTCGTAATTAACTTTCTTCCTATTGTCCCAGCACTGTCCCCAAAAGGAATTTCAATTGTTGCCAAGGTGAGCCAGGATGGACTGTCTCAACCTGTTTGTTTGGGAAGTATAGTATGATTTCAACTTGAAGTTTACAACAGGACGTGTGCCTCATATTATTACAAAAGGAGGTTATATGGTTATTCGTCATTGTTAATAACATACATAAAAAAAAAAACAAGTACAAAGTTGCCTTCTGTCCTTCCACAGGTTGGTAACTACGTGGTGTTCCTTAGTCAGGATCCCAACATGTCTAACATGTCCAGTCTGCACAACAAGCCATCACCACTGCGTCTGGAGACCCACCGCCACCCCTCCCTGCAAACCCTGCGCCGGCTGCCCCCCAGCTTCGACCCCAGCCAGTGTCCACATGGAACAAACGGGAGGGACGAGCGCCGGTGTGAGAACGGCGTACGGGGATCCTTCACGCGGCCTGTACGCACACTTTCGCCTCAGCCAGGGGCAAGTGGGCAGCAGGAGCATAGGTTACGATTCGGCCCGCGTGAAGCGAGGGACGTTACAGAACAGGGCGAGGCATCACGTAGTCTTCCAGCACAGCCTAGCACAAGTGGTCATCAACAACAAAGGTTACGTTTTAGTCCACGTGATGTAAAAGATGATGAAGAACCACGTGGGGCATGGGGAGGAGTTTCAGGAAGTATGTCCGAGGGAAAGAGACCAAACCTGCCCAACGGAAGTGTGTCCAAACAACCAAAGATGGACAGTCTACAACCACAGGCCGGAACGTCTTTTAGAAACCTAACACTACCACTACAAGGCAGTAACGGAAGAGGAGAGTTAGATAGAAATGTCAGCTCGCTGGCAGTGTTTAAGGTTAAATCTAGCAACACCACTTTGGGAAGCAGTAGTGAAATTGTTTCAAATGGTCAAGGTGTTGTTTCTAGAGGCAGAGGTCTTGGGGCAGCATCTCTTGAAGACAGAACGCCTGGTGCAAGTAGCAGTGAAAGTGGAAGAGAAGCTGTATCTCCTTCCCAGCCGGAGTCAGCCCCTGTTGGACGAATGGAAGACTGCGGATGCAGTTCTGACATGGCGAGTAAGGCTCAGCCCGACGCATCACGCTGTAACAACGGAAAGGTTGCCTCTTCCCTCCACAAATTCCGCTGCACGGATGTACCGCGAGACTGCCAAACCTGCATGGGGATGCACATGTACGTGTTGGACATCAGCGCCGCAAGGACCACGGGTCGAGTCCGCTGGTCCGAGATGCCGAGCAACGAGGGACTCTTCGCGCCGGAAGAGACGAGTCTCCACTCCATAGTGATGGGGAGGGGGGACGTGATAGTTTACGGAGGGATGGAGAGTGTACGCAGTAAGAGACAGACGGGAATTCGGTTAGGACTGGTGACAATGCCGAACAAGCTGTACAGACTCACAGCAAGACGGATATGATTTTCTGTCTTTTACTGCATTTTTTAAAATTCCTTTCAAGTACAATAAAACTGTTAACAGTTTACGGACCGCTTAACTTCTTTTGTTATTGTCGGAACAACTCTCAAAAGATTTTAACGTATTAAAATCTGCATAATCCTACACACATCAAAATTACGCGTACAAGCACCACATAATTTGGGATTGGGACTTAGGGGGATGGTATCTTCAATTTAATTTTTTACTCGGTGAACTTGAGGATAGTTGACGTTGCAGTCTTTTGTCAATATTTCAATACATTATTTGTACCTGTAACTCTTGATATGTAATTCATAATTGAATGTATATCTGAGATGTCAGAATGTGTTCAAATGTTAACAGTTACTAGTATAATGTGGTTGTCCTGTACTGAAGCAACTTTAGTTGGCTACCAATTTATTAATCATATATAATCTTATTGCATAAACCTGGCAGTATTGTTATCAATAACAGAGTTCCAGGGGGAAAAACATCAATTACTAACATGAAGCTATAATAAACCATACATACCTATACATGGCATATATAGAATATGTATGTATAGGTCTGATAACACTACAGAAAACTGCAAATGCACCAAGTCATGAATACATGGAAATAGCCAAATCTGTGTTACTTAATTAATTAGTCTTTGTTAAAATGGTTGATAATTGTTGTTGATTTGTAATATACACTGTGATATTACTCCAGACTTGCTGACAACACACTGTCAGAATAGCAAAGCTCTTTATTCAAAAACACTTGTTTAACAAGAGCCGACATTTCATTGACCGCCTGTCATCTTCATCAGGGTAATTATGATAGGTTATTGAGACATGAGGAAGATGACAAACATTTACTATCATGAAAGTTCATCTGTGTTGGTAGTTACATATTTAAAGTTGAAACTTTTGGTCCAACACAAAAAAAATTCTCACCTAGAGCTTTCGACCAGTCACTCTGGTCTTCCTCAGTAGACTGACCCAGTGAAGCTGAACAAGACTGAACAAGCCTATTTTTGAGAGGTGTGAAGGAAGCCATATACATCAGGGCCCATCACCCTTCATTGAACCGTGACGGGGGCCGACATCGTCTACCAGATACCTTTGACCCAGTGTTGACGTCACACTTCAAAGAAGCCATGTGACAAGCTTCACTGGGTCAGTCTACTGAGGAAGACTAGAGTGACTGGTCGAAAGATGAAGGTGAGAGAATTTTTTTGTGTTGGGCCAAAAGTTTTAACTTTAAACATGACAAACATTTGTTAAAACAGTGGTTCTTGTTGGGCAAATGGTTGTGCATGTGAATAAAGTACTTTCCTATTGAATAATCCACCGACCTGATGAAATTATTAAAGGACATGGAGTTTTGTACTCTTTGGTGCTACTGTTTTTTTGTTGTCGTTGAAAGGAAATCCATACAGTAGGTTAACATGTATACGCTTTGCTTTGAAGGCACTTAAAATAAATTTTACACAAAAATTCAAAGTGATTCTGTTATTTCTGTAATTATGTTCGAGCTTTTTTATGATCAGCTGTCAACTGCTAGATAATTATTTACGCATATTGAGCATTAGCAATAATTAATTGCATGCCTGATAATAAGTCGTAAGAATCTGTTTTAACGTAAAATGTAATTACATGTATGTCATATGTACATCCACCAGTTTGTACACCATGCATAGTCATGACATTTTTTATGACATGTTACTTATCATGATACTCCACCAGCAGTACGACCTTCTTGCCCTCGTCCAGCACCACGGCCCGTCCGTCCCGCGCGCTCGCCACGCAGCTGGGCGCCTGCAGCCCGTGTAGCAGCACCTCCCCGTGCCCTCCCGCGGGGTCGAACCGCTGGACCCGCCCGTTCTTCCCGTCCGCCACCACGATGTTTCCCGCCGGCTCCACGCAGACCCCCGCCGGCCGGTTCAGCTGGCCCTCCTCCCAGCCGGGCGTCCCGAACGTCAGCTGAACTTCACCCGATGGCTTCAGGATCTGGGAAGGAAAATTAATATTATTAGAATTATTATGTTTGCCTTCTGCGAAGGTTAACATATTATTTTTGCTTAGTTTCTTCTTCCTTCTGTTCTCCAAACAAATAAAGTCAATGACCTTGACCAGACGTCTGTCACCTTGGTAACTAGTACTGCATCTGTACCTTGACATTGTTGTACCACCAGTCGGCCAGTTTTAAGTCTTACCTTGACATTGTTGTACCACCAGTCGGCGAGTTTTAAGTCCTACCTTGACATTGTTGTACCACCAGTCGGCGAGTTTTAAGTCCTACCTTGACATTGTTGTACCACCAGTCGGCCAGTTTTAAGTCTTACCTTGACATTGTTGTACCACCAGTCGGCCAGTTTTAAGTCTTACCTTGACATTGTTGTACCACCAGTCGGCGAGGACGATGTCCCCGTTCCCGTTCACGGCGACGGAGTTCATACAGACCGGGGGCGGGGCTGTGACGTCGCGGTAACAGCTGAAGGACCGGACACGCCTGCCGCTGGGGCTGACGGTCAGCAGGACCCGCAGCTCGGTGTCCAGGATGACCACGCGGCCGGTCTTCGGACACACGGCCAGGTCGTGCGGGCAGTGCAGGCCAGAGCTGATGTCGAACAGGTGGTCGCCTTTTTCTGTGAAGGCCTGAAAAAGCATTTGCAGATTTAGTCTAACCTGGAATTAGGTCACTGTTGTTAGCTGTAGTCTGCTTCCAACTGGCATCACTTCTCTATCTATGAACTAAAAAGACTGGATTTTAGGCTAAATACATACCACTTGAGCGTAGTTGACAATTTATGATAGAAATAGATCGAATTCTTATGTTTCTACATGCCTTAACAGTTTTCTTGGCGCCGACTGCCGCAGAGGAACTCGTACACTGGACGTAGAGTTGTCTTCTGGAGGAGTCGAAAGCCATCCTGCCTGGCCTGACTACACTGTTCTTCTCCACTACAAGAATGTTGCGCTGGAACCTGCCTTCCTCGTCATAGACCCGTACTCTCTGTTTGGACCAATCAGAGACGAAGATCAGTCCGTCGTCAGAAACGGCCACGCCGGTTGGCTCATCGATACGACCTTCTGAGGACTCGTTCCCACCGACGGTTGTGACCTTCGCGCGGACGCGGATTTTTTCTTCGAGGCTAGGCTCCTCCGACGTGGTGATTGGTGACGGTACATTCTTGGGTGATGTTGCCAGTAACTCTTGTTCGATTTTTGGACCGGACGCGACTCTAGATCTTTTGCCAGATTTGGTCACGTTTTTATCTACCTTATCCTCGGGAACATCTTTATTTTCTACTACGATCTGCCCAAGACCTCCTGGCACCATACTCGGCGAGGCAAATTTCCGTCTCGTAAACGGTCGTCGCCTTTCCGAACGGTCGTCGCCTTTTGTCAGAACGGTCGTCGCCTTTCGGAGCGGTCGTCGCCATTTCCTAGCGATCGAACTTCAGTTCCGAATATCCGCGGCATGTTCGGGACTTCCCGGAGTTCTTGGAATGTGTGAATCGCACTCAGTCCATAACATGGCGACCGTAGGCGGGCCAGAAAAGTAACTTGTCTCCTCAACTGCTGATTTTATAAGATCAGCATACGATCCTAGGCCTGGATCTTCTCCAGCCTATTCTTGTTTCCCTTCGCCAACAAACTGAAGAAGGGTTCATATAATGCCGTTTATACAAATGACAAATGAATCTTCAACCAGAGACATTTGCTTCAACCAAAAACAAACATAGATTCCGTCCCTGTGCTATATTTCTCAATCCCTGTGGTATGTATTCCTTTCGTTTATGTTAAATTCATGTAGGATTAATAAAGGACCTGTTGTTTTAGAAGGGGGACAATGTCTTACTTTGACAGGAGTTTTGACAAACTTGTAAAGCTATTTTCATCCCGAAATGTCTATGTTTTGTTACCTTGCTGAATGTTAATACTTGACACATTCACCACTGCACTGTATGTAAATACGACACATTCACTGGGTAGCACATCAATGCCATGCTGGTGACAAGTGTGAAATGGCCTGCTATGCTGGGCAAGCACTGAGACAACAAAATAAAACCCGGCTGTGGTGGAGTTGTGAGTCAGTCAGTCAGGACATAATGTCCTTGGTCAGAGTAAATGCCTGCATGTGTGATGGTGCTTCCGAATGAATGTTTCTGAGTCAGACCATCCTGCAGCATTCATAAATTACATGCTCGCACAATGGGCTGTTCCAAAATAGCATGT